TTACATATTTTCGTCTGTCGTCTTTGGTGCTCCTCTTCACTTGCTTGTTTGCTTCTGTGTATCCAGCTTGTGCCTTGTCGTTCTCTGCACTTGTTTGGCTGATGTTGATTGCTATCTTCTTGTACCTCCTTTCTTGGATTTTATCAAGAATACCAACAGAGATCCACTCATTGTAATGGTACTTCTTGTAGCTGAGAACTCCCTGACATGTTGAAATGACTGCCTGTTTGATTCCCTGCCAACTGTTCTCCATGGTTGTTTCCCCTCCATCGAGTAGATTGTGCAAGGCCTGGAACCTGCTGGTGAAGGCTGTCTTAAATTCTTTGAGTTTTAAGGTCCCAGTCCATGTTGTTCCATGATGTCTTCATATCCAGTGTTGTCCATTCCAACCTTGGCATTCGGATCTCCCATCAGAATCGTCAAATTCTTTGATAAGCGTCTGTCGACGAACCACGTATGCTTTTGCTAACAGCTGTTAGATTATGAGTGAAACTTGTTGAAATATTCTGTATGCATTCGCGCTAAGAATTCCGAATTAGTGCTAATACATGATGTTGAATATAACATTTGATGATAATATTACATACATGTGGAACTTCATTTTTATCATCCCATCTGCTGAGGACATTGCATGAACGACTTTTTTCATTCTTTGATGCTCCTTAGAACTGAAGGGTAGAACCCAGTCTGAATACACTAAAATCCTGTATTTCGTAAACATGCACACAGAAAACGAAGAATAATGTTGGATATTTTGGGTATGCGGAAATTGAAGGCTCTCTTCTGTTGGAGCTGGTTTTAAGTTGGACGTTACAGCCCTTAAATCTAGCCTTACGTGATGTCAAGAGAGTTAACGTTTACCTAGCGCAAGTGTTAGAGGCTATTGCTAGCACAATGTCTGGGAGTCACTCAAGTTCTGATGACAGTAGCGATTCCAGAAAAAGACCTCGGGAGAAAGATTTGGACCTAGATACGAGCCCTAAACGTCCAAATTGTGGTAAGTTTTTAAAACTTGTTTTCTGTAAGATAAATTATGTCAATAATCGGTAAAAATTAAATGTTTCATATTAAAGAGGACAACGTCCAGTTAAAAATTTTGGTTCCATCAATTGCTGCTGGAGCAGTTATTGGAAAATCTGGGGAGGCTATCGGCCGAATTCAGAAAGATACTAGCACGAAAGTCAAAATATCAAAACAGGATGAATTCTATCCTGGTAAGAAATATGAAATATTTACATACTTCAAGCCTACTTTATTTATATGTCTTAAGTAATATTCTGTGTAATCACTTCAGTTAGTTATCTACAACTTGGATTCTGCTTTGAGACTCTGCATCCAAACATGTTTTTGAATAAATTCTAATTTCCCGGTCACTGCTAATGTATTGGTCAAGTGCTTTCCATAGTCGAGGGGTTTTGTTGTTTTAGATTCATAACGACGCTTTGTCTTCGTTGCAATGCTTAGGATTAATATAAGACAAATATAAGGCAGAAAAGTTTCGAATGGTCAAAAACGAATGAAAATCACCGTGTTGTGATCAAGGCGTGTAATATTTCCGACTAGTAAAATGTGATGAAAAGAGTCTTATCCATAGAATTCACACTGAACAACGTAGAAATAAGAAAAGTCACAAACTGACTATCTACTAATTTCACTCGCTTTTTATTTATTTGCGTTGTAATATTAAACGGGATCCCAAAACAAATCAAGCTTTAACTTGAAAGCCAAAATTTTTACATCGAAGTTTAACTACTATGGGAGCTGCGTTATTATTATAACTTGTGGTCTAACTAGTTTTGACTTTCTGCGAATATTCTCATTACATAAGCAGCTTCAGTGGGGTTTTCTCCGATGAGAAAAGTTATCAGAAAATTAACTGTATATGTACTGTAATTTCCATAGAAAATAGGATATACTGTCAAAATAAATGATATGTTATTGGTTTTCATTCCAAGCATTCTTTTTAATACTTATTTTTATTGTTAGTGTCAAGTAGAATGTAAGGTCATTGTTTATAACAAATAACCTGGAAATTTCGTCGTGAAACTTACAAATATTACTGACTTATTTCAGCACTATGAGTGTATGGTTTCAAAAGATCCTATCTCTCTTAAAGCTTATAATTTGGTTTGCGAATTCACTTACCACTGGTTCTACAACTATTTCAACTCATTCACTATTCATCTTGTCACTTTTTTATCCGTCAGACTGTACGATGATTATAACAAGTTGGTCAGCTCCTATCTAAAGCTACCGAGTTAAAGCAGCCTCGTAGAATAAACAACTATTTTTTGATTGTAGATAATTTTCTCATGTCCTGAAAATAAGCTTAATCTTAAGATGTTTGTTAATAATAAGTGATTTAAATTAATTCGGACAATAGAAAATGCTTATTAATTAATGCTTTTTTTCGAGTTCAGTCAACATTGTGATGTCTTCATAAGTTGATCTCATTAAGTTGTCACCTCCTGATGTCTCATATGTGTAATAACACTTCAACAGACTGGATTTTACATGTCCGATAGAACGTTTAGTCCACGTAGCTAGTATTTGTATTTCTTATTTTCTTCAGTTGCCACAATGAATTCAATTAGATTGTGTTTAGTGATTGCCTCTAACACATTCTTCACAACTACATGAAAATAGATATCAAAATATGTACAAATAAGAAATATAACTTAGTATATTTTGGAAAAATTGGGATTTTCCACTAGTACATATTAATAACAATAAAGATGCTTGCTCAAATCTAGTGTTGAAGTAGTATTTTAATAGTAATTCCCTGAATATAACATTTCATTAATGCATTGTTATTTTGCACAAATATGACTTGTAATATAGTTTGAATTTTATCAATATCTTGTTTGAATTAATGTGTCTATTGAAGTTAGTTACAATACCTTATCAGAACTAGAGTCTAGTTATATTCAACCCTTCTTCATTCTTCCTAGTTTCAATTCATATTAAGAACAGCAAACTTTGTCTTAGTTTCCGTTTACTCAGAGTTGCGCAGTTTATTTACCATATTTTATTGACAATTTTCTAAGCATATCTGTTAGCTGTTAGTTAATTACATGATCTCTCTGATGAATTGATTTTGTTAGCATTCATCAACTGTTAAAATATACTAAGAGAATACTTTAATTCTTAAATTCATATACTTTAACTGTTGGTCTTATTTCATTTCTAAAAATGATTTTAGTACAACATTTGTATCTTATTTTCACGAATAATTCCGTAAACATTTTCGTTACAATTCTGTCGTTCCACATGCTTGGCATTACCTCAATCACTTTGCTAGCATCTAAAAAATAAGTCATAGTGTCAAAGTGAAACTCAACCATTTCAACGATTATGCATTATGGTTTGAAGACTTGTGTTATTAAAATTAGTTCTTATGCAAGTTACTGATCATGTTTTGCTTTGCCCCATTATATATTGGTTGTGTACAGTACATCGTTGTCTTTAGTTGTGCCTAGTGACTAAAGTCGAAATAGTTTTCGTGCCTTATACTTTAGTGTATCTGCAGAGTTATTAGGAGTTATAGAAAGGATTTGATTGTGACCAATTCGGTCTCGTGTACTGTTATGAGTATGAGGGCAGATGTCCTTTTCGGGCTGCCCACACTGTGGAAGGGTGCTTCTTGAGAAACATGAAAAGAAATTTTGATTAGTGTTGATCTTAGAGACCTGGAAGCATGACTGCACAGTTCAAGGGACAACTTCTTGAGGCCAGTTATGCATGACTTGGAAGATTTTGAAGTGTTAGCTCCGCTCTTCAAATGTCCTTACCACGGAAGACGGGAATCCGTGAGGTAAAGTGAAGTGTGAGATTTTTAGGGTCGACCTTTTCTAACCCCTTCCTTGTTAGAAGGCAGCATCGCTGCAGATACTGGTTGTTCGAGGTAAACACTTTATTGCTGTCACACCCTTCTATAGTCAGCAGTACGACTTCTCCCTCAGACTGAGTTATTGCTTTTAGTTTTACCGTTCCTGGTTTCTTTTTTCATTACTCTATTTTTGTAAAGCAGTTGATTTTGGTTATCGATTTATCAACCTTTGTAATTTCCTTGTTGTCATTCATGACATCTCGTAAATTGTTTTACTTAAAAGTCTTTATACTTCGGTTAAGCTAATTGTGTAGAATGGTATAGTTGATTAATGCGACTGAAACTAGTTTTGTTAATATACTGAAGTTTTATAGTATGAATCCAAAGGTTTACAATACTTTTCATCTACTCATATTTATAAGAAGTCAAAGAATATCATTATTCACTATATAATAGACCTAAATATATGAATTTGTGTTCTATTACTGAGTTATATTATTATTTTACAATAATTGTTAAAATATTATAAACACCAACTATGTTTTAAATAGTATTCTCATCAATGCTCATAGGTGTCTTCGAAGCATTGCTCGTATATCGTGGGACACCCGAGTGAGCAACGCTGTTATTAGGAATCGGGTGCTAGGTAAGAATGGCAAATCAATAGATGAAGCAGTGAAACTTCATCAGTTGAGGTGGTTGGGACATGTGTTGCGTATGCCTAACCACCGACTGCCTCGTCGATCTTTGTTTTGTAGTGTAGGAATAGGTTGGAAGAAAGTTAAGGGCGGACAAACCAAAACATGGCACAAATCCATGAAGTCATTGACAAGTGGACTGAACCATGTCGGTAGTTGTCAACTACCTGGTTGGGGTCCGCGAGATGATAATAATCGGTGATTAGAGACCCTGAATGACATGGCTCAAAACCATTTGCAATGGAGCCAGTGCATTTATTCTTTGTGTTCTCTCAAATCCTAATCTTCTGGATTCTTCAACACCTCTAGTTTTTACTTTCTAAACTTATCTCATTGAATCATACTTCGTGAATAATATCTTCTAATTCTAACCTCTCCGATTACTTCTAATAATTTTACTACCTCTTCTACTATTGGATTTGATTTGACAATTACATCTCTGTGCTGATGTGGTATGGCGACATGAACTGATGTACTTACGTACGAAGTTCTACGTTGCAACTGACTGACTGACTGACAAAACTTATAAACTCAAAAAACTATTTCACTTGTATTCCGCCAGTTTTTTTCATAATCTATATAAAAACTAAAGATGGAATTTACAACCAGAACTTATTCGTTTAATCATCGAGTGATTGTGATAATTATACAAACAGTTGCATCGTTTTATTTATGAATATATTCATAGATGATACTAATAAATAGCTATCACATACCTAGACGTGAAATGCCAGTCGGCATAGAAGTAGGTTGAAGAAAAAAAATTACAAGTAGTTAAATCAAGAATTGGTGAATTCATAAAATTGGTTCCTTTCATTTCGATTGTGATACTGTAGACTTGAAAACACCAAAAATAAAATACTCGCAAATCAATCGATACTTTTCTCATTCTATATTTTACTTTCTATATTGACTTTAGTGTTGTTTTAGGCAATATTTATTAAGTTTAACTTTCTCATTGAATTAATTAGTAATTCACTTTCGACACATTTTCATTTTGTCCATTTCCGCTTTCACTGTACCTTTTTTCTAAGGTGTAGAAACTTAAACTGGCATTGATCTATCCTAGAACTGTTGTTTCCTTTGATTTTTCGAAGGAATAAATTGAAAAATTAAGCAACTGCTTTGTAATAGCGATTATAAAATAGCATTGAATAGTTGGAAGAAAGTGGGGTTACATTCATCAAAGTAATTATTCGAAAAACCGTATTGAATATTTGCCGCATTACACAATATATTCTGACGAAAAGTCAGTAGCTATGTAAGGATCAAGAGAGAAATCTTAAGAATATATGGAAATCTAGAAAGAATTTTATTGAAATCACAAACTTATCAATGCGAGACCATTGTTAGAAAGCTGAAAGCACTGAATGACCGTTTCTTGCTTTTAAGGGACTCACCCATTAGGCAGTGTGTATCTATCACTCCATCAACGGGAATCGATCCCAGGACCTTTGGTTTCACTCATGGACACTTAATCTCTAGACCACTAAGACGGCATCAAACAGTGTTAATATCAGTCCGCAATATTATGCGACCATTATCCGTTGTCTTTGGCAGTTAATTGCCTCACACTCAACACAGTTGAACCTTCACTGGAACTCCTAGAATTCCTTCCTGAAACTAGCCACTAATGAGCACATGATAATTGTCATTATAGAGTTGTGGATAAAAAGTTGAATTTGGTTATGAAATTTTTTTTTAGATTAGATGTATTTATTACGAATAACTATCAACTAGAAAACTAATGGAAATCTAAGAGTATTGTGAACAGCTGTTTATTCAGTCTATGTTGGCATATTAGTAGGCAAACATTCAAAGTTTTTTTTTGTTCTATTGAAG